CCCCCTTTCCGCGCGCGAGCCCCGCGAGATCCCCGTACCTCTGCGCTTCTCTCCTGCAGCTTCTGCGGGTCTCAGTGTGCCTTTCCTTCCTTCTAGTTGTAGAGTTTACAGTCAGCCAGGCTTCCTGTGGTTCTGGATGAAGTCCGTATTGTTTCTCTGAGGTATTAATCAATTGTTGTGAGCGGCATTAATTTCCCGGTGTTTATCTCTGCCGCCATCTTAGTTTCTCCTAATTCCTTGCTTTCTTACCTTGGCTTTTCTGAACCTATTCTCTGAGTACTTTTTTGTTTGCCTTTGCCTATTATTCATTTTCCACTTGACTCTTGTCAGAGTTTCTTCTCAATTATTCTCTCTATATAAGTAATTTTATTCCTCCTGTAGTTTAAATTACCACTTGTATGTCTAGACCATTTTTGTTAGGACCTACTCAATATCTCCTCTTTAATTTTTTAAATCTCCAGGAGAAAGTCCAAAAATCCTATATAATAAAAGGCTAATATGCAAATTGACCAAATGGTGGAATGACCAGTCGCTATGATGCGCACTGACCACCAGGGGACAGACACTCAATGCAGAGCTGCCCCCTGGTGGTCAGTGCACACCCACTAGAGGCGCACTGCTCAGCCAGAAGCCCTGAGCCAGGCTCATGGCTGGCAAGCACAGCAGCAGTGGAGGGAGCCTCTCCTGCCTCCACAGCAGTCAGACATCCCTCCCACGACACAGGGCTCCTGGACTGCGAGAGGGCACAGGCCAGGCTTAGGGAACCCCCCTGAGTGCACAAATTTTGTGCACCGGGCCTCTAGTTAAATTATAATTCACCCAAGAACCTGCTCCCATTCTAGTGTATTCCATGACAGAAAATGGCCCAACCATCCACTCAATTGCTTAGAACAAAAAACAGGATTTCATCTTCAAAACTTCCCTCACCTTTATTCTTCTATAACCAATAAACCACTAGTTCCTGTAGGAAATCCCTTTTCCTCTCTTTTTGAACACCGTCACAATCCTATTCTAAAGCTTTCATCTTCTCACCAGCAATGTTATATTGTCTCTGAAACTGCTTCTACATTTTCTGCAACCTGTTTGTTCTTGTGCCCTACAACTGTTTTTAAATATTGTAATGATATATTTAAGAAACTAACTCAGTAGCTTCCCAAGAAATTAGGCTTACAATGGTTTTCAACTATCTCAAGATAACATCCATAGTGTGTATATGTAAGATTTCTCTTCCCCCTTAGATCACTAGTCCACGTTAGTCTTTGTCACTTATAACTCAATATCTCGTACTTTGCTTTACTCAAAGTTGTCGCTCATTGGTATTTGTTGAAACAGATGATCTAATAAAATTTGAAAGTTATAATTTTTAAAATTTATAAATTATAGTTTATAAATCATAACCGAGTATCAGAAAATAAAATTGAAAAGTATTGTGTCACTTTTATGGATTTTTAAATTTCTTTAATGATTATATGGATATATGTTAAAGACAAAACATTTAAAGGATAATTATGATAATAATTAACAATCAAATATGATTATCAATCTGTTTTGCAATGATAATTGATTTTTATTATATTGGCACTAAAATTGACTTAAAATTGATAACACTAAACAATAATCACATTTATTATATTCTACTCAAGAAATTGAACTGATAAATTTGTGAGATATTTTCAAGGGATGTAAGTAAAAAGTGTATAGAATAAAGTGTAACCAAAAAATCGATCTATAAAATATGGTTCCAAACTATTCTATTCATGGGTTACAGTGATACATTGGTTAGCCAGAATCCCCTTTTTGGTACTTGCTATTTTTTAATCTCCATGTTTTTAGTGAAAGCTATGTTTCATTAAAGCAAATTATCCTGCTTCATTTTTCTCTGTCATGGAACTCAGAATTTGTCAGCAGAGTATGACTTTGACAACCAGAGTTAATATCCTTTTCCAGGCTTCCTTAGCCTCGTCTGCTCTGTCTTAGCTTAAACACAGTAAATGTGGCTGGTGATATAAAAATGACTTTTACAGTTTTCGGTGGCTTCAGAAGAACTGATTGAGTTTTAAAAATTATTTCTTAATTTTGTAGAGTCATTAATGAAGGTCTTTAAAAAAGGTACCAGTGATCTGATTCTGAAATTAAAGATTCATTTAAGCTGTGCCCATTTGTTGCTGTGAATAATAATGATAATCATATCTAACATCTTTGAGACCTCTGTGTTACTGCTCTAC